AGGCTGATGACGTGTCACGAGAACACGAGAACGCTCAAGAACGCATATTGAGAAACGCCGTAAGACATCAGATTAGCATACACGTATGCTAGTCCCGTTTATAGCTTTAGTTTATCAACGTTTATACCTTTAGTTTTGTACGAAGAATACACTTAAAACTATATCAAGTCTCCCTTTAGTCATGTACAAAAAAAACTACTTAAAACACCAAAAAGTAGGTAATAAAATTTTTTTTATATACATGATTAAAGGGATATACGCCAGTTGAGGTAGTTTAAAGTGTATTTTTCATACAAAACTAAAGGGATAAACGGGTCCTGACTATGGGTATGCTGGTCTGTCAGAACAGCGGCTTCTTTATTTTGTTCTTATTCTGTTTACCTGAAGGCGGCATCATTGTCTCCAGGTGGATCAGGTACGCTTCAAGAAATAAGAACATGTCATTTTTACAGAGTAGGGCTTAGTGAGACCTATTCCTAGAAGTTCCCATTAATATGCACTTTTAATGCTCCATAAAATTCCCTTCCTTTCCTCTTGTCACACTCATACTTTTAGGGCTCCAGCCTAATTTATTAGCATGGTGTCATCAGCACAGAGGAAGAGGCTTTTAGGATCTGAGCTGCTTTCATGTAAAGATGTTGGTCTTTATAGTCGCTCCAACTGTACAGCTTTAAACTCTTGCTGATGTGGCCAATGGCTGATAACTGCTCATGTGTGAAACAGATCGATTCCCAGTGTTGCTGCTTTTGAAGGAGACTGTGGGATTTCCCGTTTTTAATTCTTTCTGAAGTTCTTCTGTTCTGCTGTGTTGCACCATTTATGTGACAATCTATTTTTATCCCATTTTCCTTCATCTATTTTTTGTTTCGGCAACATTTAAAGGATGAATATTTACTGAGAAGTCCACATGTTCATTTTTTAAAATCGTGATTGGTTTGAGGGATTGCTGAAGAGTCAATAATTTGATAAAATGGACATCCCACCGTCTCTACCTGCTCATCCATGAGGAGTGAATCCTGCAGAGGCAATGAGTCGATGCAATCCGCTTGATTGATCTGGAAAGTGACCTGGAATGACCCATACTATGTTTGGAATGAAAAAAAGGAACCGATTCAAAATGAATATTGATATAATGGGCTTTAGACGGAACAATGTTGAATTGAATCTGTGTGATTAACATCATAATGGACTGAAATACCTCATGTAAGGGAATTGTTGTTTTCTTTTTATTTGAATTGATGCAGCATCATATTTTTCCTACTGGATGGAGTCTCTGTCTTAGACCTAATCCCTGACAACGGGTGAGTTAGATTTCAGCGGCTGCTTCTTCCAAGGATGAGGTTTACGTGGACTGCGTCCTTCGAGGTCTGTGAAAATAGTTTGCATTCCATTTCACATGGAACTATACATTTTTTATATTAAACTGCACTTCCAATATTCACCACTGTTAGGCGCAACTTCCCTTTTTCCTCTGACCACGGAGCAGCCGGCTTGCTTGGACTCGCAATGAATCATGGGATACCCAGGGTTACGTAGGAAACACCAGACCTGTCCTTCAAAACAGGCAAAAAGAAGGCTGCATTTGTCGGCTGCATAATGAGGAGTCTTCCAATCCAAAAAGGCCTCAGCGCCACGCTATGACGTAATCGGCCGACGAATCTGGACTTTGGAGGACGCAGCTGCTGGATTCTAAATCAGCATATGTGTCATGATTCTGCCATTTGTGGACTTTTTGGTTCTGTTTAAGTTTCTTTTTGAGTTTTCAGTTACATTTTGATTTCTGTCATTCTGTGTTTTCTGGTTATATTTAAGCAGTACCCCTTTGTGTCAGTATCCTTTCCTCTAAGCTCCTTCTAGTTACTTCTTTGCACACCTGCTCCCTATTAGCTAATTAGTCCTCCCATTGTTTCTGCCTCCCATATATACACTCACCGGCCACTTTATTAGGTACCCCATGCTAGTAACGGGTTGGACCCCCTTTTGCCTTCAGAATTGCCTCAATTATTGGTGGCATAGATTCAACAAGGTGCTGGAAGCATTCCTCAGGGAGTTTGGTCCATATTGACATGATGACATCACACAGTTGCCGCAGATTTGTCGGCTGCACATCCATGATGCGAATCTCCCGTTCCACCACATCCCAAAGATGCTCTATTGGATTGAGATCTGGTGAGTGGAGGCCATTTGAGTACAGTGAACTCATTGTCATGTTCAAGAAACCAGTCTGAGATGATTCCAGCTTTATGACATGGCGCATTATCCTGCTGAAAGTAGCCATCAGAAGTTGGGTACATTGTGGTCATAAAGGGATGGACATGGTCAGCAACAATACTCAGGTAGGCTGTGGCGTTGCAACGATGCTCAATTGGTTCCAAGGGGCCCAAAGAGTGCCAAGAAAATATTCCCCACACCATGACACCACCACCACCAGCCTGAACCGTTGATACAAGGCAGGATGGATCCATGCTTTCATGTTGTAGACGCCAAATTCTGACCCTACCATCCGAATGTCGCAGCAGAAATCGAGACTCATCAGACCAGGCAACGTTTTTCCAATCTTCTATTGTCCAATTTCCATGAGCTTGTGCAAATTGTAGCCTCAGTTTCCTGTTCTTAGCTGAAAGGAGTGGCACCCGGTGTGGTCTTCTGCTGCTGTAGCCCATCTGCCTCAAAGTTCCACGTACTGTGCGTTCAGAGATGCTCTTCTGCCCACCTTGGTTGTAACGGGTGGTTATTTGAGTCACTGTTGCCCTTCTATCAGCTCCAACCAGTCTGGCCATTCTCCTCTGACTGGAGAACTGCCGCTCACTGGATGTTTTTTCTTTTTCGGACCATTCTCTGTAAACCCTAGAGATGGTTGTGCGTGAAATTCCCAGTAGATCAGCAGTTTCTGAAATACTCAGACCAGCCCTTCTGGCACCAACAATCATGCCACGTTCAAAGTCACTCAAATCACCTTTCTTCCCCATACTGATGCTCGGTTTGAACTGCAGGAGATTGTCTTGACCATGTCTACATGCCTAAATGGACTGAGTTGCCGCCATGTGATTGGCTGCTTAGAAATTAAGTGTTAACGAGCAGTTGGACGGGTGTACCTAATAAAGTGGCCGGTGAGTGTACACCTCCTGTTGCGTTTCTCATTGCAGGATCCTCGTCTTTCTTTAGGTTTATTCCTCCCTAGTGTCTCCTAGTTTCTTGGTTCTAGAGTTTTCTTGTCGATCAGTTCCAAACTATGGATTCTAGATTTTGAATTCTTCATTAAATTTAGCAAGAAATCATCTCTGCCTCTTCTACTCTGCATTTCGGTCCACTGCAACATTCACAAACACTGACAAAAAGATGATGGTGCAAAAATATTAAACATAGCAGAACGTGATAAAATTATCCTACTGACGGTCAATAAGAAACTGAGAGAAATGCATTATATATGAGTCTTTCTGTGTCACAGAGTTCCATTTGGCACATCTTCATCTCCATGGTTATGCAGATTTTCTTACACAGTAAGGTTCTTAGCTCCCCTTTGCTAAGGGAAGTTTTTTCTGCTCAGGCGTCTTGTTTGCTCTCAGGGCAAAACAGGATTGTAGTTTAAAAATGAAATCATGATTAGAGGTCTTCGGCTGTCTGTGGTCATTTACTACATGCTTTCGCTCTAATGCCGTGCTGAATCACTTCATTTCCATTTAGTCATTGTGTCTGTACTTTATGCTCTGCTTTGGCTTACGCGTCCCAGTGCTGTGAAACATCTGTTCACAGTTTGTTAAGAAAGCGGCTTTTTTAATGGCTCTTAAAGAAGCTCTTAAGATGGGGTTAGTGTTTGGTTTGAAGCAATGTTCCCAACACTCTGTAAATATGTGCAAAGACGCATTATCCTGGAAAGACTTTGCACCTGCTCACTCGGTTTATGAAAAAAATTTGTGTTTTATTTTTTAAGTAAAGACTCCATATAACTGATATGAAGTCATATTCCTCACTACCGACAAACCCAGTGCAGTGGGATGATGGTGTAGGTGGGATCGTTTTTGTCATTCTCAGAAACAGACATTGGAACCATATGTTACTAAGCCCTGTTTTTGTCTGTGTTCTTTTTTCACGTTCCTGCAGGCGATCAAATGCTCCTCACAAGTGCAACAAGCTGATTTAGGCGTTAGCTACAAATGTCTCTAAGCAAGACAGGAACCAAACAGTTGGTTAGAGTAAGAAAACTTCTGTTTTGAGGGCAGGTTGGGGTCAGGTGGAAATTCACAGAATAAAACCATTTCTCTCCTCATATATGCTTGCCTCTGTATTGCATTAGCAAAGTAGTTTTCCCAAAAATGCAGGAGAACCTCTGAGCTACTGTCTGCACAGTCTGAGGTGATGAATCCCTTGATTATTTGCAGATGTTTTTCTTCTCCTGTTGGTGACACATTTGCCTGGATCTCCCCAGTTTGGAACAGCTACACATAAAACAGCTCGACCGAACCCTTAAGGCTGAAACAACACGAGATTAGCTGCACCTTGAAAGGCTTTGACTGATTCCCAAAGGGGATATGCTGGATGGAAGAGGGACACGGTGGTTGGGGACCACTGATCTATTTACTCTAACAGTCATGTTTTTAGCCTGTGGGAGGAAGCCGGAGTATCCAGAAAGAACCCATGCGTGCTTAAGGATAACATGCAAACTCCATGCTGAAAGACCCTGGGCCAGGTATTGAACCAAGAACCTTCTTGCTGTGCTACCCACTGCTCTACTGAGCAGCCTTATCAAGTTTTTCATGTTTCAGAACATGAAAAACTTGATAACTTGCTAACAAATATAGTTAGACATATATTTGAATATCCATGCTGTCTAAATTAAAGGTGTAGAGGACAAAATTCTTTCTAGTTTGAATTGTGAGGAGAACAATTTAATCATTGTCATTACTTATATAATTGGCATTACTGCATAAAATTCATATTTAAATCTACTAATATCTACATTAAACTGATTAGTTATGATTAAAGTAGTTATTTATCTCTAATTTCACTGAAGACTCTTAGATGAATTGCAAAGACTTAATTTTCTCTTTACCCCATAAGGCAAAGTCTAGCTCTGAAAAGAGCATCAATTTTGTATCTTTTTATGTTAGTATACTGATGTGCATAATTAAACGCTGTGTTTCTGTTGTCAAGTAACTGTTAATATATGAAAAATTTAAATGTGAAATAAGTTAGAACAAATCGCCTTGGAGTAAAACTGCTGCCACCGTCTGGATTAGAGGGAAAACTGTTAGGGGTGGCAACAAGGGTGGCTGGCCCCCCATCTAGCTCCGCCCCTGCGTGTTGGACGCCTTCCCTCCTCTTTGTCCTTTCTTTCTCTTCCTTTTTGACTTTGGGGCACTGCATTCTTCAGCAGTGGACATTTTTACTGCATTGCTGCTTATTTATATGTTTTCTTCTAAATTTGTTTGATTTTTTATCACTGTGTCAAATGATGCGCACGTTGCATTTAAGGCCCGGTATGAGCAAACTGCCGGTGACAGACTGGAGGGATCTGATGCCAAATGCAGGACCTAAGGACCAAACCATTTAATGCAATTTCACGGGGGGAGAAATGCAGGGCTCATGAATTATCTTTGTGAGAACAAAGAAAATTTATTTCACTGCTGGAGTTTCTTTTTATATTTGAAAAATATAGTGGGAAGAATCGTTTTCTTCTTTTTGGGCCCCCCTCAGTCAAGGGCCCTTGGAGTCTTCCTAACTCACTTTTGATAATGAGCAAAAGATTATCTTGTAAAATACTTTTTAAATACATAATATGTAGCAGGATCTCCGGTTTATCTTGTTGAATCTGTATTGAATTAAACTTATCTCATTTAATCCTTCCTTTTAATCTGCGCCGCTGAAACAAGAAACACATGTTGGTAATGCTTGTTTTTCCAAGTCAGATTAGCTGTTTTCTTTTCCCCGGGAACTTGCTGCTAATCTAAACAGGAAGGTCATCAAGTCACATAAAGAGGAATGTAATGGGAGGAGCATGAAAGGAGGCTGAGGTGGCACCCGAAGGGGCAGCAGGAAGACAACATCTGTGAAGGAAATACTGGAGGGATCTTTATCATTTACTGTTTATTCAGGAAATAGTTCCAGGAACCATCATTTAAAATAAGGTCAGACTTTATGAAGTTTCACTAGAATCTAGAGCTATTTGCACCAGACTAGAGTGCTTAGTGTGGTGACTTATAGCAAAGGACAGAACAGCTGATGATGTTTTCTGTCTGGGAACATGTGATCTTCCCTGGAGGAACATGAAATTATGGAGAGCCTCCCCTCTCATTACTCCATGTCAGGGTTTTTTGGGATTTCATGTGAAACGTCTCCACTGAAGCTGACAGATTTACTCTACAGTTTAGATGTTTTCATGACCAATTGTCATTTTAAAGTCCTTCAGAAGTCTGAAAGCTGAAATGTTTAGTCCTACAGGCCCAGTGAGGCTTAAGGAAACTCACTGATCCTCATCCTGGGACACCTCAGGGTCATGTTCTCAGCCCTCACCTCTTTGCCCTCTTCACACATGACTGCTCTGCTCTACAGAACTAACATGGCTGTAAAGTTTGCTGATGACACCTCTGTGGTGGGCCTCATATCTAATAAAGATCCACTGCAGAGAAAAGGTCCACCATCTGACACAGTGGTTCTCCTGGAAAAACCTCATCCTGGAGGTCTAATGAGGTCAATGTGACTACATGAGGGCCAAGGAGACTGAGGGCATGAAAGGGGGAGTGGTTGAACAGTGGGAAGTTCCTAGACATTCTGTTGACCTCTAGTAGTTTGAGAGGACCACCCACCTGGTGAAGATGTCCTAACAACAGCTCCTCTTCCTCAGCAAGCTGAAACAGACTATGGGATTCTTTAAAGGGTCCCAACTAACAGCATCCTGTGTCTCATTGTGACAGAGAGGTATGGTGGGGGATGGTGGGATACCGTCTGCATGATCTGGACCTGCTTCATGCCAGAAAAAGTCCAGAAAAAGACATATTGCCACAGGTCCAACCCACCCACACTGTCTGCCCAACTTCCATCAAACACAAAGTGAGTCAGGAACAGTTTCAAACCAGTGAAGTTGAATCAGTTCAAAGGTCATGGCAACAAATGGACCTGATATAAAGGAATGCTTAGCTTAGGCTAATGGTGAATACAGCTAAGGTCATCAGCCATCACCCGAGCTGAACCTCCTTTCGTTTCAGTTAAAGGAAGAGTCCGGTCAG